GGTATTAGGTTAGAAGCATCTCTGGAACATTCTTATATCTAGTAAATAGATAGTTACATGGGTCTGGAACTCAGAGGAATGTTCTGAGCTGAAGGTTCAATTGTGGAAGACACAAACCCTAGGAGTAGACTACTGGACCCAATGTGTTTGTCAAACATGAGGGCTAAGGATATGAATAACCCTGATAGACATTCACATTTAAAGGATGGGTAAGAGAAAAGAACACATTAAGGAGACAAAAATTACTCCGTCTTCCTCTTGCCATCCTCTCTCCCACACACCACGACCTCTCAAGAACAAGAACTGGCTCAGGAAGGATGTGGGGATGTGCAGGTTGAGGCGAACAGAGTGGTTAAAAATCCTTCAGTGTTTAAGTGCTTTATCGACCAACCATTGTCCGGAGGTAACCAAGGATGAGCTGTGAGAAACTAATCTCACTCAGAAATGCATCAGTATTTCCAGCTTATTTAACAAGTCTCATTCATTTTTAATGAGTTTTAAGAGGCCACTCAGTAGCTGATGCTGGCTGTGCTTGGCAAAGAGCCATAAACTCTGGTACCACCTAGTTTTCTTTCTTGAATTTAGAGAAATTTCGAACAAAGGCAGAGAGGCTGAAAGCGGGTTAGAGCACCTTGGATTTAGCCTTGAACAGTCTCCTGTGCTTTCTCCTTTACTCTTGTGGGATACCACAAACTAAATTAATGCTGTGGGAATCACTCCACAAATCAAAGACTCTCTATTTGACCTTGAGGAGTCACTTATACTCTTCCTAGAACTTAATTTTCCTATCTAGGGAAAGATTTCAGAAAATTAAAAATCATCCTCATACACAGTGGGAATAGATCATGTGTTAATTTCCAAAATGATTTGGAGGACATTGTCGTCGGTGCTATATGACTGATGGGCCCACTCTGTTCATTCTACAATGAGTTGTTGTCCACCTGTTATGTATCAGGCACTGGCAATACAGTGATAAACTATCAGACAGAGGCCCTTGCTCTCACTGCGCTCACATTCTAGTGAGGAAGAAAGGCAAAAAACCAAACAAACAATGACTGAAACAGAGTGTTTAGGGTCTAAAACAAAAACAAAATTTTGTCATAAGATAGGGTGTTAGAGTGGGAATAAGGGCCACTTCAGATTAGCTGAAGTTATTGGGAGAGGCTCTGAGGTGATATTTGACATGAGGCTTAAAAGATCAGAAGAAGCCAGGCTTGCAAGGAGCCAAGGTAAGAAGCTTCCTCAGAGGAAAAGCAGAGGCAGTGGCAACAGAAAATTAAGAGGCCTGGAGTCATAAAAATGCTCGAAGTATTTAAAGAACTAAAAGCAGGTTAAGAACAACTGGATGTTCACATGCAAAAGAGAGAAACTAAACCTCTACTTCACTTTGCACCACAAACAAAAATGAACCTAAAATGGATCAAATATCTAAATATAAGAGCTAAAACCATAAAATTTATAGCTAATACTTAAACATAAATCTTCATGACCTTGGATTTTGCAATGTGTTTTAGATATGACACCAAAAGCACAAACAGCAGAAGAAAAAATAGATCAACTAGACTTTATCAAAATTAAAAACTTTTTTGCATCAAAGGATACCATCAAGATAGTAAGAAGACAACCCACAGAATGGAGGGAAATGTTTGCAAATCATATATCTGATAAGGCCCTAGTAATCAGAATATATAAAGAACACTTACAATTCAACAAAAAAGGACAAACAACTCAGTTTTAAAATGGGCAAAAGACTTGAGTAGATATTTCTCTAAAGATGTGTAAATTACCAATAAGTTGACGTGAATGTAAAATCATGCAGCTGCTGTGGAAAACAGCTTGGCAATTTCTCAAAAAAAAGTTAAACATAGAGTTACCATACGATCCAACAATTCTACTCCTACCTATATGCCAAAAAAATTAAACCACTTAAAAACAGGTGTTTTTAAAAACTGTGCATGAATATTCACAGCAGCACTTTTCATAATTGCCAAAATGTTTAAACAACCCAAATATCCATCAACTGTTGAACAGATAAACAAATTGTGGTATAGATATACAATGGAATTTTAATCATCTATAAAAGGAATGAAATTCTGACACATGGATGAACCTTGAAGACATTATGCTAAATAAAATAAGCCAGACACAAAAGATCAGATATCATATGATTTCATTTGTATGAAATGTCCAGAATAGGCAAATTTATATAGAAAGAAGGAAGACTAGTGTTTGCTAGGGGCTGGGGGAGAGGGGTTGGAGGAGTGATTTCTCAAAAGTTAGTTTTTCTTTTAGGAGTGATTACAATATTCCAAAACTAGATAACGATGAAGGTTTCACAACTTTGTGGTTATACTGAAAACCATTTTAAATGGGTGAGTTAAATGGTATGTGACATATCTCAATAAAGCTGTAATCACAAAAAACAGGCTAATGTCATAGGAAAACCGTGAGGGAAAGTGGTAGAAGGGGCAGAGATAGAAATTGCCTGAGTATACCATCCTCCTAAGGCTCCATGCAGAGATAACGCTTACAACGCTAAACCGATGCTAAGCAGACTCCTTGGCCTCTTAGTGCCAGGCCCAATGCCTCTAAGGAAGGTCAAAGAACGGAGAAGCCACTAACAACCTGGGGAAAGAGAATGCTTCCCCCTGCATGTAGAGCAGAGGGAGCCCAGTTTCCCTCCCTAGTCCTCCTGTTCAGGGTGGGAGCTTCCTTCCTCCCCCACTAAACACTCCAGAGATCTCAGTCCCATCAAGGGAGCAACAGAGAGAGGATACAACATGCTTGTTCCAAGCACACGCAAGTTTCACGGTTCCAACTACCTAATGTCAAAAGCTCTTCTATCTGGAACTGTGGCTCAAGGCTCACCTCGGCTAACGTTAACAGCTCCCGTTTATTCAGTGCTTACTCTGCGCCAGGCGTTTTGCTAGGTATGTTTGCATAGGTTATCTCATTTGGTTCACACAATAATCCAGTGAGGATTTTACACATTTGTATCCCCAATTTAACAACGGAGGAAACTGAGGCATGGCTGGGTCAAAACCTTGCCTAAGATTTCATAGATAAGAAGGCGTACTCAGGTTCTGTCAATCTAAACTTGCCCTTAATCTCCATAATCATACTACCTGGTCTCCTCCGATCCCCCAGGAGTGCTCCTCTTTGTGGAGTTAGAAGAGGGAGCACTAAGATCCTTCTAGAAGTTAGGGGTATGCTTGTAACACCTTTTATTCCTTCTCTGGTAAATTTAACAGGATAAACTAAACGCAGCTTTGGTCAACCAGGGATGTAGCTAGCTGCCTTAGAGGAGATAGGCAGAGTACCAGAAACTGTCTGTACACCTTCATGAGGCTGCTTCTCCGACCCACCTAAGGTCTGTGAGAAACGAGAGGAAAAGTATGTCGGTCATCAGAGTGCATGCAGGCTTTGTTTCCCTCGTCATATAAAAACCTTTACTTTAGAATGGTAGCCTAGAGGAGTCCTTAGCTAGCAATCATTGCTAATATTAAGCACTTCTTATCTAGTAAGCGCTGTGGTAAGTGCTTTTACATAGGGTGTCTCATTTGATCTTGACAGCAACCTTGTGTAATAGGTACTACGTTAACCTCTTTTCTATAATCGGAAGTACTGGAACATAGCTGTGACCAGCTTGCCCTAGATCTCAGTTTGTAAAAATACGAAAGCCGATGTCTACTTCCAGTCAGTCGGATCTCAGAGACCTTGACTTTTTAAAGTTTGTTGTTTAATGATGGTAAAAAAAATCCACATAAATAAAAATTTCCATCTTAATCATTTTAGGTGTACAGTTTAAGTGTTAAGTTTATTCACATTGTTGTGCAAAAGATCTCCAGAACTTTTTTCCTCTTGCAAAATTGAAGCTCTACACCAATTAAACAAAAACTTCCCTTACTCTTCCTCTGAGCCCCTATTAATCATCACTCTATTTTCAGTTTCTGTAAACTTGACCAGTTTAGATACCTCATATAGGTGTATTTCTGCAGTGTGTCTTTTTTTGTGACTGGCTTATTTCATTCACTAAGTGTACTGTCTTCAAGGTTCATTCATGTTGTAGCATGTGACAGGATTTCCTTCCTTTTTAAAATTTAATTTTTTTCATTTTTCAGTTTTATTAGGTAGAATTGTTACAATTTGACTGCACATATACAATGTATTAAATGTAAATACATATACACAATATATTGCACATATTTATAAAATTTACATATACGTACTGTTCATTGTTTCCAAGAACATTTAGAGCCTTAGCTTTTAAACTTACATAGTTATCAAAGAAATAAAGCCAACCACAAAATAAGAATTAATTCAAAAAGATACATATACCCCGCTATTAACAGCAACATTATTTTTAATTGCCAAGACATGGAAGCATCGTAAGTGCACATCAACAGATGAATGGATAAAGAAGATGCAGCATATACACGTAATGGAATACACCTCACCCATAAGAAAGAAGGATATTGCCATTTGCAGCCCTTCATTCACTTTTTTTCCACTTCAAAAATCAGAATTTTATAACTGGCATAAACATTTCCATTGCCTCAAAAAGAACAAAATACCTAGAATTAAATTTAACCAAGGAAGTTACCTACACTCTGAAAACTGTAAAACATTGATGAAGGAAATTGAAGATATACAAAGAAATGGAAAGATACCTTATGCGCTTGGATTGGAAGAATCAACATTATCAGAATGGCTGTACTACCCAAAGCAATCTACAGATCCAATGCAACCCCTGTCAGAGTACTCACAACATTTTTCAAGGAACTAGAACAAACAATTCCAAAATATATATGGAACCATAAAAGACCCCGAACTGCCAAAGCAATCTTTTGTAGGTCTTTTTTTTTCTCTCTTTCTTCTTTTTGTTCTCTTTTCTTATGGTTTGATGATTAGAGAAGTCCCTTTAACATTTGTTCTAAAGCTGGGATTTCCTTCCTTTTTAAAAAGGCTGAATAATATTCCACTGTATGTATGTCTTAATCTGTTAAGGCTGCTCTAACAAAATACCATAGACTGGGTGGCTTGAACAACAGAAATTTATTTCTCACAGTTCTGGAGACTGGAAAGTCCAACACCAAGGTGCCAGTAGAGTTAGTCTCTGGTGAGGGCTCGCTTCCTGGTTCATAGATGGCCATCTTCTTGCTGTGTCTTTACATGGCAGAAGGGAAAAGGAAACTCCTTAGAGCTTCTTTTTAAAAAAATTTTTTACTATTTTTTAAAAAATTTGGGGAGGAGGTAATTAGGTATTTACTTATTTATTTATTTTAATGGAAGTGCTGGGGATTGAACCTGGGACCTTGTGCATGCTAGGCATGCACTCTAATCCTGAGCTATACCCTCACCTAGAATCTCTTATATAAGGGCAATAATCTTATTCATAAGGGTGAAACCTCCCAAAGCCTCCACCTCCAAACACCATCACATTGGGAGGTAGGATTTAACATAAGAATTTTGTGGGGACACATTCTGTCTATAGCAATGTATATACCACATTTTGTTTATTCACTTATCTGTTGATGGATGTTTGGCTTACCTGCACCTCCTAGCTATTGTGAATAGTGCTATGAACAGATGTGTGAAAATATCTCTTCAAGACCCTGCTTTCAGTCCTTTAGGATATATACTCAGAAGTAAGATTGTTAAATCATACAGTAGTTCTATTTTTAATTTTTTCAGGAGGCTCCATAATGTTTTTATAGTGGTCATAATATTTTATAACTCCACTAACAGTGCACAGAGTTCAGATTTCTCCACATCTTTGCCAATAAAGATTTTCTGGGTTTTTTAAAAAATAGCAGACATCAATAAGTGTGAGGTAATAGCTCATTGTGATTTTGATTTGCATCTCTCTGATAATTAGAAATGTTGAGCATCTTTTTATATGCTCGTTCACTATTTGTATATCATAACTGGAGGAGTAGTCTATTCAGGACTTTTGCCCATTTTTTAAATTGGGTTATCTGATTTTTTTGTTTTTGAGTTGTAAGAGTTAATTACATATTATGGATATTAACACCTTATCAGACATATGATTTGCAAATATTTTCTCCCATTCTATTGGTTGCCTTTTCACTCTGTCTTGGTTGTGTCCTTTGATGTACAAAATTTGTTAAGTTTCATGTAGTCCCATTTGACTATTTTTGCTCTTAGTGTCATATCTAAGAAATCATTGGCAAATCCAAAGTCATGAAGATTTTCATTTATGTTTTATTCTAGAAGCTTTATAGTTTGGGATCTTATATTTTGGTATTTAATCCATTTTTAATTAATTTTCATCTATAGCATAAGTGTACAACTTCATTCTTTTTCATGTAGATATTCAGTTTTCCAAATGCAGTTTGTTGAAGAAACTATTCTTTCCCCATTGAGTGGTCTTGGTACCCTTGCCAAAGATTATTTCACCATACACATGAGAATTTATTTCTAGGCTCTATTCCACCTGTCTCTATGCCTCTCATTATGTCAGTAACACACTGTTTTGATTGCTGTGGCTTTGTAATATGTTTCAAAATCAGGAAGTGTGAGGTCTCCTCTGTTCTTCTCTTTCAAAATTGTTTTGCTATTTGAGATCCTTTGAAATTCCATATGAATTTTAGGATAATTTTTTTCTGCAAAACAAATAGACAAATGGGACTACATCAAACTTAACAACTTTTGTACACCAAAGGACACAACCAACAGAGTGAAAAGGCAACCTATGGAATGGGAGAAATTATTTGCAAATCATATATCTGATAAGGGGTTGATAACTATAGTATATAATAAACTCCTTTGACTCCTTTTCTGCAAATTGCTATGGAGATTTTGATAAGGATTGTATTGAATCTGTTTATTGCTTTGGTTCTTGTAAAATGCTCTCTTTTGCTTACCATTTGCATCAGAGCCCTTACTTTTAGTCCCCCACATTGCACTGTCTCCCTTCAGGCATCCTCTTATGGAGTGAGAGACTTGAGTTTCTTCTCAAAGTTAGGTGTGTACTACTAAGATATTTTACTAATTTTCCCATAAATTAGTGGGTTAAAGAGCAGGTAAGTTCTATAGTCTTCCAGGGGTCTGGCTTGCCCCCTCAGAGAAGGAGGTTTGTAGATTATCAGAGTTTTGCCTGTGTATTCATGAAGCCATTTCTTTAAAACTTCCCACTGCTCCTTTGTAACCACCTCTGACCAATGAGATGGTGCTTCAACAACTCAACTCCCTTTTCTAGGGGTCTCTGACATTGCTTACCACTAAAATAGAATGGAACTTAAAGGACTCTCAACCCTTTGAGCCTCCTTCATCTCATCTTTTGCCAAGAGTGCTCTGTGACCTTAAAATCCAGAGTTGGCTGCAGTCAAGGCTGATGGAGGCCTTTGAAGTCTTTTCTGTGAGGGAAAATGAAAAGCATAAAATGAGGATTCTTGCTGGATCTGTAATCAACTTTTCTGAAACTCGGGTCCTTTGAACTAATATAACACCCTGCTTTCAGAGTGAACCTTATTGCCCATATCTGATTGCTTGGCTTTCAAGGCTGCTCTTGGGCCCTATATCTGGTGGGACCCTTCAAAGTAATCTCTAAGAGCATTGCCTATAGGGAAGGCCCCTTACAAGCCAGGGCAGTGGCAAGAAAACCAGCTGCTGCAGCTATCAGTCTTCCAGTGACATTCACTTCCACTTTTATCTCCCATACCACAGCCAGCTTCAGTTCTCACTGACTTCCATCATTTGCAGAACAGCATCTTCCTGTAAATGCAAATATTCAGGTTGATCATAGCTGGCTTTTTGCCTTTGGCTCTTTGATAGAAATAAGGCTAATAATAGAGTTTTGTGTGAAAATAGAGAGCTGAATGACATCAAATAATCATGAGGCATCCTGCTGATTAATGGGCCAATTGTCCTGAAGGTCATCTGGTCTGAGCTTGGCTAGAAATCATTAAAATGTGGGTTGTTACACAAAGCAACAGCTGCCCCTTCAGAGCTTCCATTTTAGTCCAGAATAAGAGATGACAATCAAATTTTTGACTCACAGATGGACAGTACCTATAACTGAGGCTTACATCAGCTTTTCTTACGTTTCCCAAAAAAGCAGCTGATCTTTGATGAATATAACCTGATTTTTCCTTTGTGGGATTTCCACATGTCCAGTCTCCAGGTGCTTTTTTCTTATTCTAAGTAATTTCTATCAAAATTGATCATTTAATATATACAACAAAGTATAAAAAATGTAGAACATATACAAGTGGTAGAATTTATTGAACCACTCTGTATAAGCTCCTGGTTTTCCCCCTAGCTCTTCTGTCATTTATTTTGTTTTCTTCCTTTGGGCAAGGCTAGGGAATGCTTTCCAATGTTTCCCCTTGGGAATAAAGGAAGCCCTCAATAAAAACATTGTATCACTGAAAACAAACTATTGGCGGGTCTGCCACAAGAGACAAATGAGCAAAACATATTAAGAAATAAAAACATCTTTGGTAGTTTTCATTGTGGAAGCCCCCATAATTAGTGAGCTTTTAGTAGTGAGCAGTGTTTGTGCATGTCTGTTTTGTTTTTGTTTTCATTTTTGTTTTGCTCTTGCTCTATTACTTTATTTGTTTCCATTTTTAGTGAGAGGAAGCTATTGTTATCTTTTAATAAAAGATGACCACATCACTTTCGCTAAAGCAAACATTCAGGACAGATCAGAAAGGTTAAGAAACTTCCTCCCCAATAACGGCCTATTCTGGGCCCGCTGCTCACCCTGACCTTGGGTCTGGCCAATGAACCTCCTAATAGGGAGCTGACATTCCCAGGAAGCCTTCTGTGTCTTGACGTTTGCCAGCTTTTGGGCTAATTTATTTCATTTACCCCCTTCCTTCCCACATACTCACAGGAATCAATACTCTGAGAGACTCCTTAAGCCTCTCACCATGTAAGACATTGAAGTCATAAAGTTTTCTCTTCTAGGTCCTGGCATCACACGAAGAGAGTGGTGACCTTCATGTGTGTTCCCTGCAATCTACACTTTTGTTGCGGTTTTTTTTTTTTAAGTTTTGAAATGTTTGTTTCCTTTTGTTAAAAAAAAATCTATTGTTTCCTTCACCAAGGTGAACCCCTGTGGGTCCCAGAAACAAAAGAATTTCTCACCATTGTCTACCTATTCTTTAATCTTTAGGTCATAGCACACTGCACCCCCTGGGTCAGGCCAAGGGACTTTCCTTGGGGCAGACTAGGCACTCTTGGGGCTTGCAATTTAAATTATGAACTGGGAGGGCTCAATGTGTTAGACTCCCCTGTTTTCATCCCTTTTTGGCAAAGGGCTGGATTTCTTATCTTTAAAACAGAGAATAGTATCACGTAGTTAGCTAGAGCTGGTGTGCATCATGCGTTGGAGGGATTTCCTCATGAAGACCGAAACACTTCCTCATGGAGACCGAAACACTTCCTCATGGATGACTGTGCACTCTGCAGTCCCAATTGTTTTAATCAGAGCATTCTGCTCCCTTTGAACCCTAACTTCAAGTCTAGCCAATGGAACCTCTAAACAAGGAGTTTGCCTTTCTAGGAGGCTCTCTGCATTTGGATTTTTTTTTTATTATTGACTAGAAGCCAGAATTTTGGTAAACCTCTTCCTTGTGCCCCCACAAAAATCAGTATTCTTACTCCATTATCCACTTAAGCCATAAAGTCTTATTCTAAGTGTCCTGGCCCACATAAAGGAATGGTGGCCTTCAAATGTTATCCCATGAAGGGATGCTAATAGTTACCACATTTTTTGACTGTTACACTTTTTTAAACATCTGTTTCAACATCAGGATCTCAGTTGTGTGGTTGTTCAAGATGAAACTGTTTGCCCTAAAAGGTTCTCCCTTGTCAATGTCTAACTATTCTGTTATTTCTATTTGTTTTTTCTTTGTTTTGTTTTACTTTTTTACTGAGATACAGTTGATGTACAGTAAGTTACAGGTGTACAACACAGTGATTCACAATTTTTAAAGTTTATACTCCATTTATAGTAATTATAAATTATTGGCTATAATCCTCCTGTTGTACAATATATCCTTGTAGCTTGTTTTATATATAGTAGTCTGTACTTCTTAATCTCATCCCCTGTCTTTCCTCTAGCACCTTTCTTCTCCCCACTGGTAACCACTAGTTTTTTTGTACTTGCACTCCATCCACCACTGCAGGAATCAGTGGTCCCTGATGAAGCCACAGAAGTGTGGTGGTTCTCAATCATTACCTATGAAACGGATACTTCTTGGTTGTCTTCACTTTTGGAAATTTGTCTTTGTTTTCTCCTATTTAGACAAGAGCCTCTAAGTCTTTAGACAGCCAAGGCAAAAAAGCTTGGTGGGTCATCATGTAAGCTTAGAGGATCCCTGTCTAAGGTCTCAAAGTTCTGTAATTAATTAACAATGATTTGCTGTCCCCAGAGTGACCCTCTAGCCGACAGCCTTCTCTTATTCTTCCTTCCTCTTTCTCTTGCTGTCAACTTGGATCATATTCGCAGCCTTGTCCCAGAAGAAATGCATGTACACGCACAGACACACAGACACACACACACACACACACAATGTGTCCTTAAGAAATCTATAAGTCTCTCCCAGGCATGTAGGTATACAAGACTGAAAGGGGTGTATATGAGAGCCTTTTGGGGTGTTCTTTCCTGTGTGTAGGATGTGTGTGTGTAGCAGGGGGGGTAGTTCATTGCTTTCTTCATTGTAAGTTCTTTTTCTTTTTCAGTATTGCCTCTTTAGAAATGTCCCCATGGGTATCTTCATTTTCTGTAATCTTAAAAGAGCAGCACATGCTGTCTTCTTTGGTCTGGCAAAGCTGACCTGCCACTGCCTTGAGACCATCTTATTCTTTATTTTCTCAATACCAGGCTTTTATTTCTAACCTATTCCCCAAAACATTTAAAAAATGAAAACTTGTCTTAAAGAAACACCAACTCATTAAGATGCAGGTATAAATGACTGGAAGGTTTGAATGTCATAATTCCCAACCATCCCTCTACTTTTATGCTTTTTGCTTTCTTTTTAAATAAAAGATTGGGTTCTTTCTAGCTTGTCTCTTTAGAGATACTCTCCAACAGAAACATATCTTGGCCCTCTGGGTCAAGCAGAGGTGACCTTCCTTTAGGAAGTATGAATGACTAGGATGGAGCCCTATGTCAGTCCCTTGCCTTTTTTTTCCCCTGCTTTCTTCCTTTAATGGTAAAAGGAAGAAATTTCTATCTTGTAAGAAAGAAAATAGTTTTGTGGTTAACTAGAGAAAACGAAGCATCTTCTTCTAGTGGCTTCAAATTTTGCAGCCTTAAGTGTTTTAATCTGAGAATACTGCTTTCCAAACCATGAGTCAAATCAACAGATCCTCTAAACTGAAAACTTGCCTTTGCAAAAAGCTGTTGGCATTTTAGCTCTCTAGTCACGAAAAGTGAGCTTTTTGCCTTACCCCTTTCCTTCTCACCCCAACCCACCACTAGCTTCCTGAAGCCACTTGAACTGTAAATCTTTTGTTATATAACCAAGAACCATGCATAAGACTGGTAGCCTCCCTGAGTTACTTATTATCCATGTAAGAGACACTTTTCCTTCATCTTTTTAATTCTTCACCTTTTAAAAATTGTTTTTCCATTTTTTTTTGGGTAGGGGGGCAGGTAATTAGGTTTATTTCTTTCTTTCTTTATTCTCCAAGGAAAAAATACAAATGATCAATAAGCACATGAAAAAATGCTCAGTACCACTAATTACCAGAGAAATGCAAATCAAAACTACAATGAGGCATCACCTCACACCAGTCAGAATGTCCATGATTCAAAAATCCACAAATGACAAATGCTGGAGAGGCTGTGGAGAAAAGGGAACCCTCCTACACTGTTGCTGGGAATGTTGTTTGGTGTAACCACTGTGGAAAACAGTATGGAGACTCCTCAAAAGACTAGGAATAGACTTATCATATGACCCAGAAATCCTGCTCCTGGGCATATATCCAGAAGGAACCCTACTTCAGGATGACACCTGCACCCCAGTGTTCATAGCAGCACTATTTACAAGAGCCAAGACGTGGAAACAGCCTAAATGTCCACCAACAGATGACTGGATGAAGAAGAAGTGGTATATTTATACAATAGAATACTATTCAGTCATAAAAATGACAACATAATGCCATCTGCAGCAACATGGAGGTCCCCGGAGAATGTCATTCTGGGTGAAGTGAGCCACAAGGAGAGAGAAAAGTACCATATGATATTGCTCATATGTGGAATCTAAAAAAAAAAAACATAAATACAAAACAGAAACAGACTCATAGACATAGAATACAAACTTGTGGTTACCAAGGGGGCGGGGGTTGGGAAGGGACAGACTGGGATTTCAAAATGTAGAACAGATAAACAAGATTATAC